CAGATCTGGAATGTGCCCACGGGCTGTGTGGAGCTGAGGGACCCTCCTGAAACCCCCCTGGGTTGAAAAACCCACTCCCTGCCCCCCCTGCAGCTCGTGCCTCGGATCCCACCCCCTCTTCCTCCTCCTTGGGAGTTGATTCCGTCCCCCCAAAAGCTGAGGAATGAGGGGGGGCAAAGCAAAAAAAAAAAAAGGGGCATATTTGGGGGGGGGACATTTTGCTGCCACCAACTGGTGCTGCTGGGGGACGAGTTGGCAGAGGCAGCGATTCATTTAAATGCCAGCTCAAATGTCAGTGTCCTTTGCTTCTTGTCCCCCTGGCTGCATCCTGCAGGTCCTGCCTCCTGCACCAGTTCCTCTTAGTTTAACCAGAAGTTAAAAAAAAAAAAGGTCATAATTGGCGTTGAATATTAAACTAACAATGTAGCTCGAATGAGCTGCTGCATATTCATGTTTGGGAGGCAACTTCATTCCTCAGTCGTGACTCATCAAATGTAAAAATCGGGCATGTTGGCTTCTAATTAAACAGGCTGTTCCCCAAGCTGCAAACCAACCTGGCTTTCACAATAAACTAATCCCTGGGATTTAGGGGTTGGTTTTTGTTTTTTTTTTGCTTTTTGAAGCCTCAGCTGCTTGAGAAATGATCCTAAGGGAGCTTTGAAAAATGGGAAGGTGACATTTGAAAGAGGCTGGGGTGGTTGGGTTGGAAATTCCTCGAGTTCCTGCTGCATCTCGGGGATAGAAGGTGTTAAATTTGGGCTGCTGGAGCTGGAGGGGAAGAGCTGCTGTCAGGACACTGCCCTGGGCTTGTGCAAGCATCAGAAATCCCACCTGATTTTCCTGTTTGATCCCACGAAACTGCAGCAGTTTTGGGGGCTGAGCTGTTGGAAAAGGAGGATGTTGCCAGCAGGGACTTCAAACGTGGAATGTTTGAGGCTTGTCATTCATCCCCAGACCCTGTGTTTTGGGATGGGGGGCTGAGTAATCAGAAGCCAGGAACCTGAAAGGCAGTTGGTTCTTTTCTTGCTCCTTCTTGGGTGGTTGTGGGAGGTGGGAAGCAGCAGGTCAGGGCTCAGGCAGGGTTTGGTCCCTGTCAGACTCAATTATCCCAACCACAGGGAACGTGAGGTGCTGTTTTGGGAAGCAGGTCAGCAGCTGCCTAACCCTGGAAATATCCAACCCTCTGGGGGGGGGGAAAAAAAACAACCCACATTCCTGGACCCATTGGCTGCAGGTTGGGGCTGGTAGGCTGAAGGTTCCTGTCCTGGGGGAAGTGGGAAGGCTCTTGGCAGGTTGGAGCCTTTTTTGGAGGTAATTTGGGACAAGGCTGATTGGAGCAGTTGGTAAAAAACCCAGTTTTCCCCTGGACTTCAAACGTGGAATGTTTGAGGCTTGTCATTCATCCCCAGACCCTGTGTTTTGGGATGGGGGGCTGAGTAATCAGAAGCCAGGAACCTGAAAGGCAGTTGGTTCTTTTCTTGCTCCTTCTTGGGTGGTTGTGGGAGGTGGGAAGCAGCAGGTCAGGGCTCAGGCAGGGTTTGGTCCCTGTCAGACTCAATTATCCCAACCACAGGGAACGTGAGGTGCTGTTTTGGGAAGCAGGTCAGCAGCTGCCTAACCCTGGAAATATCCAACCCTCTGGGGGGGGGGAAAAAAAACAACCCACATTCCTGGACCCATTGGCTGCAGGTTGGGGCTGGTAGGCTGAAGGTTCCTGTCCTGGGGGAAGTGGGAAGGCTCTTGGCAGGTTGGAGCCTTTTTTGGAGGTAATTTGGGACAAGGCTGATTGGAGCAGTTGGTAAAAAACCCAGTTTTCCCCTTTTTTTTTTTTTTCTGTGGATCTGGGCAGAGCTGGGGGGAGCTCTGGTGGATCTCAGGAGCTTGGATCAACCTGAACCTTCTGGGTCTGAAGTGCTGCAGGTCCTGAGCTGTGGCCAGAAATGGGTTAAATCGTTGCTCTTTGGGGGTGGGGAATTAACCTGGAGGGAGATCTTCTCCAGGCACTGGTCCTAGCTCTGGATCTGACACTTTTGTGACCTACATCTTGCCTCTCTCTAAGCTTAAGAGCACTAAACTCTTCACGAGTCACCCTGGAACTGTGCCTGGGGTGAGTGGCTCTGGTGACTTGTCAGCTGGCAACAACCACACCAGGAGCTCCCTGGATCACTGCCTGGTCCTTATTTTATAGGGGGGGGAATCACCTTGTGTCTCTTTTGAGGAAGAAACCCAGGTTTTGGCTTGTCTGCCTCTGGAAACAACTGGCTTCGTGGTGGGAATGGCTGTGCTGGTGGGGACATGGGGCTTCTGCTGGGGGGTGGTGGCTGGTGAACTGTCACCTGACCTGTGACTGTCACCATTCAGTTGGCCAGGAGCCTGGACATGCTTCTAGCCTGAGCAGTGGTGGCTCCTGTCAGGGGGGATGAGGGGAAACAGCAGCAGAGAAGCTGCGTGGTGGGATTTAACTGGTGTGAAAAAAACCCACTCACTGGTTTGTACCAAGGGGTCTTCTGTTTGCCTGGGCAGCAGGAGGTGGCTCATGTGGCCTCTTAGCTGGGTCACCAAGAGGTCTGTGACCTGCATGCTGGAGTCCTTCACCTTTAGGGTTGGTTTTTCTAAACAAAACTGGTGTTGGGGCAGTTTTACAGCAGCTGGGACTCACTGGAGCTGCTCCAGTGTCCCCCCCCCAGACTGTCTGCTCAGTGCCACGTCAACCCATTGGGGCTTCAACCCCTCTGATGAGGTTTTGAATTCTTGTTGGGGCCTCTCAAATTAGGAGAACCTTGTGGGGATGAGTAGCCTGGTCAGACTGGCTTCTAGTGACATAACTTGTCCATTTGTCCCCCAAGCTTTGGCTCTTTCAAGTGCTGGGTGAGCAGGATGGGACTCATGAGGGAGGTGGGAGGAGCTGCTGGTGGCAGATGTGAACTTCCTTTGAGCTCAGTTCAATGATAAGCCCAGAAGAATTGATTTCTATGGTCTTCGGGGGTTATTTCAACCTTCTCCTGCCTGTGAAGTAACCAGGCAAGTGATTCAACTCCTCTGTACATGAACAAAAGCTTTGGAGGGCTGGGTGGGTGTGCCAGGACTGAGCAGGCAGCATTCAAATCACTGCAGTAACACCCCAGAGATGAAAGCTGCCTCTTGTGCTTGATAGGAAGCCAAGGGCAGCACCAAGCTCTGACACACTGGAAATTGTTGGGATGCACTTTGCTAGTTAGGACATGAACTCGTATCCACGCCTGGTTGGGGCTCTGGAGAGGTTCTGGCAGCTTGATTTGGTTGTCATGAATCTTGACAGGCCAAGGGGGAGGGCTGGAAGGAGGGAGCCACCCTGGTGAAATCAGCAGGGATGGTTTGGAGACCTTCTGGAGGCAGTTGGAGCCATGGGGGGGTGAAGGGACCACCCCAGGGAACAGGGTGGGCAAACCTGGGTTCTGGGGAAGGGAAGGGAGAGCAGAGAGATCCTGGGAGCAGAACCAGCTGCTCCTGCACAGGAAAAGCTCTAATCCAAGGGAATGAGCTCAGGAGAGTCCCTCCAGCTGCTGGCAGGGCTCTGGGTGCTTCCCAAAGTGACCTATTTCTGGGGGAGTAGCTTTTTATGTCAGTCTCTTGCACCCGAGTGACCCACATAAGCATGAGGAGTGAATCCTGCTGGAGCCAGGGGCCCTTCCCTGCTCCCCATGAGTCCTGCTGGAGCCAGGCTGCTCCAGGGGCCCTTCCCTGCTTCCCATGAGTCCTGCTGGAGCCAGGCTGCTCCAGGGGCCCTTCCCTGCTTCTCACCACCTCTCTCTGTGTCCCAGGTTGTCCGTAGTCGCCTGGAGAAGAAAGGAATCCAGGTCCACAATGTCAGGCTGAACGGCTCAGCAGCCAGTCACGTCCTGCACCAGGACAGTGGCTTGGGTTACAAAGACCTGGACCTCATCTTTGGGGTTGACCTGAAGACTGAAGATGTTTTCCAGCTGGTGAAAGACGTGGTGATGGATTGCCTGCTGGATTTCCTCCCCGAAGGGGTCAACAAAGACAAGATCACCCCCATGACTCTGAAGGAGGCCTACGTGCAGAAGCTGGTGAAGGTTTGCAACGAGACCGACCGCTGGAGCCTCATCTCCCTCTCCAACAACAGTGGGAAGAACGTGGAGCTCAAATTCGTGGACTCCCTCCGGAGGCAGTTTGAGTTCAGCGTGGACTCCTTCCAGATCATCCTGGATTCCCTTCTGCTCTTTGGGGAGTGTTCAGAGAACCCGATGGCTGAGAACTTCCACCCCAGTGTCACCGGGGAGAGCATGTACGGGGACTTTGAGGAGGCCATGGAGCACCTGAGGAACAGGGTGATTGCCACCAGGAACCCCGAGGAGATCCGTGGGGGGGGGCTCCTGAAGTACTGCAACCTCTTGGTGAGGGGCTTTAAGCCCAAGTCAGAAGTGGATATGAAGGCACTCCAGAGGTACATGTGCTCCAGGTTCTTCATAGACTTCTCAGACATCGGGGAGCAGCAGAGGAAGCTGGAGTGTTACCTCCAGAGCCACTTTGTGGGGATGGAGAGCAAAAGATATGACTATTTGATGACCCTCCACAGGGTGGTCAATGAGAGTACAGTCTGCCTGATGGGACATGAGAGGAGACAGACCCTGAACCTCATTGCCATGCTGGCTGTGAGGGTCCTGGCTGAGCAGAACATCATCCCCACTGTCACAAACGTGACCTGTTTCTACCAACCAGCTCCTTATGTCAGTGAGATCAACTTCAACTACTACATCACCCACGTGCAGCCCTTCCTGCCTTGCAATCAGTCCTACCCAACGTGGCTTCCCTGTAACTGAGCCAGGACCAACTTCAGGGTCTGTCCTCCAAGGTATTTGTTGCCTTGGGGAGGGTGGTTGAAAGGGGAGGGGGGGGAAAAAAACCCACAGACAAAAAAAAACAAACCCAAAAAAAACGACCCCACCAAAAAAAACCAACCCCAAGTGAAAAGAATCAACCAACCTCCCTAGAAATGGCAACAAAAGGAAATGTCCTGGACTCTTTGTCTTGTCCCCCAGGGTTGGTGGGACAAGGCCCTGGCTGCTCTACACTGTGATGGGCCACGTGGCAAAGGAGATGACCCAGATGTTTTTGGGGTGGGGGGGAAAGACTCGATGGCTTCTGGAATTGGGGAGGGGGCTGAGAGGGGGGGGGTGTGAGGGGAGATGAGTCCTAGGGAGGTCGAGCTGCCCTGCCCTGCCATGGAGCCTGATTTTTGGGGGTGGTTTCATGTTTTTCAGTGGGGGAGGTGCTGGGGGGGTGTGCAGACTTGTGGTTTCTGAAGCTGGAAGCCAGAGTGGCTGATGCTGATTCCTTTGAAGGACCAAAGAATCCTGTTTAAGTGCCTGTAACAATATAAACACAACTGTACTGTAAACCTGAGGTTATATAGAGATTATTTTCTGCAGGGGTTTGACATCCCCCAGAGCTTGAGGTGGGGATGTTGTTGTGGGGGGTGGGAACCAAACTGTGTTGGGGAAGGGGGAGCAGAGTCATGAGATCATTTCTAGGACCTGGTTGAAACTGGGGTTGGTGTCACTGAGGGGGCTGGGGGAGGTTGGGGTTGTTTTTTGGGGGGGAGGGAGTGCATGGTGAAAAATGCTGTGCAGAGCTTTGTGAGGGACCTGATGGATGAACCCACTGGAGCTCCCAGGTCTGCAGTGCCAGGAATGTGAGCAGAAATGAGGCAGAAGATCTGGCTGGGAACCTGCCCCAGGCCCCACCTCATCCTGGATTTTCTAGAGGAGTTTGAAATGCTGCTTTTTTTTTTTCCCACCCCTTTTCTCATTTCTTTGGGCATGCAGTGTGGTTCTAATGCACCAAGGCAGAGACCAGCCAGGTTATCTGGGAAGGTGAGGCTTGTCCTTTGAAGCACAAAGCAACTAGATGATCTCCAGCTCATGCTCTGACTTGGCCTGTGTCCTTCTAGGAGACCCACAGACCTTTTCCAGTGGAGATTTTTCCCCTTGGGCAGGTCCTCTCTTCCCAACCCAGCTCTGTCATTCCACACTGGTAGCATTTGAAATTCATCCTCTAGCTAGAAATGGAGCTTGAAGGTGGGATGAGTTGGGGGGGGGACACAAGGGAGAGAGGGTGGTTTGTGCACGACTCAGTTGGCCTGAGGAACAAATGGTCTTCTCTAAACAAACCCTCTCTTTGTTTTGGGGGGTTTCTCTCTCTTAGTCAAACGTGGCTTTGAAGTTGTCAGGTGTCTGGAGCACCAAGTGATTGTGTTTTATTTCCCATGGGGAGGCCTGGGTTGTCATGCTCAGTTTTATTTCTTTTTTTTGGAAAAGGGAGGGGAAAAAAAACAACCCCAAAACCCATCTCAGACTTAACCATGAATGGGAGAGGTGGGTGGGCAAGCAGGTATTCCCTAGGGATGCTGCTCTGGGAACACTGTGGCTTCATGGTGCTTCCAGACAGGCTGAGGTAGTTGGAGTTTCTTTAAGTTGGGGTGTTGTTTTGTTGGGTGGTTGTTTGTTTTGTTTTTTTTCCCATTGTTGTTGGGGTTGGTTGTTGGTTTTTTGGTGACAAAACTGTATGAGCTGGGCAGATGGAATGATCTAATAAAGACTAGATCCTTGGAATGTGTCTAGCCAGATTGCTCCCTTTTTTGGGCTAGGGGTGATGTGGAGAAGGGGGTGGGGAGGGAGCCATTTGGGGGGGGTCTTTGCACTTAACATGAATTTAAACCCCCTTGGAAACTGGTCCAGCTTTGCCCCCTGCCCAGTCAGAGCTGAAGTGTCACTAACCAGGGAGTTGTTGCAGGTTCCACTGCTTGGAGGACACATTTGGCCTTCACAGACAAGGTTCTGCCCCATCCCAGATCCTCACCCCTGTGCTGGGAGCTCGAGATTCCCCAGTGCAACTGGTTTGAGGGCTGATTATTATTTTTATTGTTGACATCCCAATTATTCCACCTTCAAGGGAAAACTCTTTTGGTTGTTTTTTGCCTTCCACTTTCAACTCCAGGTGACCCAAACCATGGGGTACCTTCCCCCCCAGGCTGCTCCCCCTCTGCCCACAGCCACCCAGCTCCCCTCCTGCCCTCACCAAATGTCCAACAAAGAGGTTCCTTCAGGCCAACTTCTGTTGCAGTTGCACTTTTTGCTTTCCAGAGTGTGTGTGCTGGGGCTCTTGTGAATGGGTTGGATCTGAATTTTCCTAGACCTTGCAGTGATCCTTGTGCTGCCTCCCCCCAGGGGGGCAATTGGAAGATTCCAGTAGCTTGAATGGCACTTGATTTTGTTTTAAATGTCTTATTTTTCTTTTGTTCCTCCACCTGTATCACTTGTCATGCAATGGGCTTGACATAGACTCACTAGATTCTTTAGAATCTGTTACAAATAAATACAGTGTATTCCAACTGGTTGGGTTTTCCTTCTTTGCTCCTGGGGTTGAGATGGTTGATCCTACTGCCCACCAAGAGCCAGGTTCCAGAGCAACTGGAGGAACCTTGGGGTCTGGGGCCTGTGTCTTGGGTTTTGGGGCCTGGGGGTCTGTCTGTCTTGGGTTCTGGGCCCTGAGGGAGGGGGTCTGTCTGTCTGGGGGTCAGTCTGTCTTGGGGTCTTGGCCCTGGGGATCTCTTGGTCTTGGGTTTGGGGTCTGGGGGTCCGTCTGTCTTGGGTTTTGGGGTCTGGGGGTCCGTCTGTCTTGGGTTTTGGGGTCTGGGGGTCCGTCTGTCTTGGGTTTTGGGGTCTGGGGGTCTGTCTGTCTTGGGGTCTTGGCTCTTGGGGTCTGTCTGTCTTGGCTCTGGGGTCTGTCTTGGTCCTGGACTTGGCCAAAAGCAGCTCTGGAGCTTGGGAAGCTGCTGACTGCTCCCTGGGGAGGCTGAGGGAAGTTTCTGCATCTTCCCTTCTCCTGGTGGCTCCTCAGGTTCCTGGGAATGTGGCAGCCTTGCTTGGTGTCCTGGTGCCCTGAGGTCCCTTCTGAGGACAAGGTGGGGAGGCTGCCTGCTGGCTTGCCAGGGCTTGGCTCTCATCAGGGGCAGCAGAAGGTGGTTGGGTGATTCAGGTTTGCTCACTGCTGGTGACTCCCCCCCCAGCAGAGCAGCCCCTCCTGGCAAGGGGAGGGTGAGGAGCTCTGGAAGGCTTAGCTCCCAAAAAACCCCCTTGGATCTGCTGCTGTGGCCAGATCCCTCTGGGAAGCTGGGTGCTGTCCCCACCTGGCCACCCTCCCACCCAAGATGAAGTTTCACTTCCCCTTGTTGAGCCCCAGGTTGCTCTGGTTCCAGTGTCCCAGCTGGGGTGACAAGGTGCCAGTCCCTCCTGGGACAAACCTGCTGGCTCTGCAGCTCCACAGCTTCTTACAGTCTGGGGCCAAGCTTCCCTCTGCCAGAAGCTCTGGGTGGCTCTTGCTGGGCTGGCACAGTGTCCCTGTCACCTCCTGGGGTAGGATTTGGCTCACATGGAGCTGATTTCTCCCTGAGGCTGATGGCAGCAGGATGGGACACTCCTGACTGGCACAGTGTCCCTGTCACCTCCCTGAGGGGGACTTGGCTCCGTCAGAATCTTTCACTGACCTGGTGGCAGTGGGATGAGACACTGTCCTTGTTGGCACCATGTCCCTGTCACCTCCTTGGGTGGAACTTGGCTCTTGTGGAACTGATTTCTCCCTGAACCTGGTGGCAGCAGGATGGGACACTTCTTGCTGTCACTTTGTCAGTTCTCTGGGTTGGACTCAGCTCTTGTAGAGCCAGTTTCTCCCTGAACCTGGTGGCAGGGGGTGGGACACTCCCCTCTTGCTGGGACAGTGTCCCTGTCACCTCCCTGGGTAGGACTTGGCCCTTGTGGAGCCAGTTTCTCCCTCAACCTGGTAGCAGGGGGTGGGACACTTGTCTTGCTGTCACCTTGTCCATGTCAACTCCCAGGGTAGGACTTGGGTCTTGCAGACCCAACTTCTCCCTGAACCTAGTGGCAAAGGAATGGGACACTCTCCTCTTGCTGTCACCTTGTCCCTGTCACCTCCCTGAGCAGGACTTGGCCCTTGTGGAGCCAGTTTCTCCCTGAACCTGGTGGCAGGGGCTGGGACACTCCCCTCTTGCTGTCACCTTGTCACCTCCCAGGGTAGGACTTGGGTCTTGCAGAGCCAGTTTCTCCCTCAACCTGGTGGCAGTTTGATGGGACACCAACCTCTCCCTGCCCCAAAATTCCTCCCTCCCTTGTAGGAGCAGCTCTCCAGCATCTGCTCCCTTGGTCAGCAGGCTCCTGGGTGCCAGGGGTGGCTCCTGGGTGCCAGGGGTGGCTCTTGCCTGGGGGTGTTGATGTGATTAAAGCTGCCTCTGGATTTGTGACCCTGAGCAGAGCAGCAAAAGCCCTGACAGAGTTGGCTGCTCATTGTTGGAGAGGATCAGGCTGCACAAAAGGATGTTGGTGGAAAGTACTAGTTGGGATCAGAAAGGAGCTCTCAATGTTTACAGCCCAGATTGGGATCCCTCTTTTGTTAATTGTCAAATAAATTAATAAAAAAACCAAACCCAAAACAACAACAACAAACCCTCCACATTTTTTTTCTCTCCCAGCCTGGAGCCCTTTTCTCTCGTTGGATGGAGGGAGAGGGATGAGTCAGGAGGTGCTTGAGGAGCCAGGGGATGAGATTTGGTGTCAGGTGGTGGTTGTTCTTGGGGGTCTGAGGGCTTCTCTCTGCCTTGGCCCCAGAGCTTGGCTCCCAGGGAGGGTGGCTGGTGGGGTGGCTGTGGTTCTGTCCCAGCAAGTCCCTATTTTTGGAGAACTGCAGCCTGTGGGAGTGTGGCATGTGTCCTGCAGCACCTCTGCAGAGGGTGGTGGGTGATGGATGC